AACGTAACTACCGACGTACCGTCTACTACCGTACCTACTTACTACCTACCGTACCGTTCGGTGTACTCGTCTTCGTTATGTAGTCGAGACGTACGTAGTAGTACGTTCTACTATATATATATATATATATATATATATATATATATATACTCCACTTACTTTTAAGGTATTGTAGCTTCATGGTGGGCCAACCGTGGACACAGTGCCCCTCAATTGCAAAGGATAGCTCAACGATTTTAAACTTGTACATCATCCAGATTCGAGCACAATTTTCAGCACAATCGAGATGGTAAATTCGTCATTTGTCCTCATCTCTTACCACCCTAACTTGTATGGTAATAAAAATCTAATAGTGCAATAATGCATTATGAAACAGATACATACAAAGAAGAGAAAATAAGCTTGAGCAGAAGAGATTGATGGTTGCACTGAAAAATGTTTGGGAATATTTTATGATATTATGACTCTATATCAGAGAAATAAACAAGAGAACTAACACAACTGGGGCCAAATTTGCCCTTAAGTTTCATATTATAGAAACAAGAAGGGTTCTTACATGTATACCAGGTACGTGAGGAGTTCTAGGAACTTTCAATTCCTGTTACAGTTTACATCAACCCTCCATATAGGGTTGAACACCCATGATTCAGGGCATGAATCCTATACATTCACAGAGCTAAAAGTAAGTATACAGACAAATGGAGAATAGCAATACCAAGGGGTGAATGGATCTTCTCCTTCTCGAACTGAGGCTTCAAGTGAGTCAAGTAATCAACAACTTTATCTCTCTTTGATGATCTTTACACAACAAAACAAAATATGACACTATTGGGGGCCTATTTCTTGACTTCTGGTGTAATGGGTATGTATTCACTCTCTCATCTCTATCCATATCACAAACCAAAAAATGGGAAATGTAAAAGGGGAGCGTATGAATTTCGCCCTCTCCCTTTTCTCACTGAGAAGTGGGTTTAGATAGGCCTTATGAAGTGATAAGAATGAAGGTTGATGAAATATATCTAAATTGTTGATATCTCTCACGATTCGGTTTGAAACGATAAGCTCATATCTTGTTCGAATGTGAAAGCACCTCAAGATGGCTTTCATCATAAGCTTTGTCCTTGTTTGATTTCGATCTTGTCTTGATGTTTGAATTTGAACCCGTAACTGCCAATATTCATCGCAATATTTCATGAGAAAATCAAGGAAAGTGGTTATTCTTATCCATCATTTGCTAGTCTGCAGAAAAGTACTGACATGTCCAAGTATTTTCACCACCACTCTCTGATAACAAATCCGTTCACCAACCAAGAAATTTTGAGTGATAGAGGACTCCAAGACGAACACAATAGTTCAAATCCCACCTCATGAATCACAGACGAGAGAGTTATGACCCGAAGGAGTGATAGAGGACTAAAAGACGAACACAATGGTTCAAATCCCACCTCAAATGGATCACAGACGAGAGAGTTATGGCCCGTCAAAGTATTTCTATTGCAAATTACAACAACATATATGAGGATTGCAAGTCCAACCGCTTCCACCACAGGGGATTATAGACCTTAAGAGTATGATAATCTTGTAGATGAGACTATGACACACATCTCCACAAAATTTGCGCTCAAGGATCTCCATATCGGTGGTCAAACTTTTGCACAAATTTCATGGTTACTGTTGCAGAGCATGCCACTTTCACATGAGCAATCGATAGGATGCCTGCACTTACATTGCTAACAAGACATTAAGTCAGAAATCCAATGGTTCAGGTCCCATGAGAAATCTCCTTATAGATTGAGAGAAATCTCAAATTCAGTGACTCTAGGTCATCCTGGCTATCTATCTGGCAAACGATGTATAAGGATTTGGCTGCCAACGAATATGGATAAGGGGCTAAGCCATCTCCAAATGACTTGAAACTTTGGGATGGGGGAAATGATGCCTCAAATATGATTTCCCATGAGTTTCAAACCAATCACCAAAATATCATGTTCGGGACCGCCAGTCAAGGCATATTTTGGCCGCTGACAAATTATGGTTGATGGACTAAATGATGTTCAAGTTGTATATTCTTGGACTAGAGGCATGTGAGGCTTCATTGGATATATGCAAGGGCACACCTCAATGTGATATTATATGATGAATTTCTTTATACTCCGGCTGTCAAACACTCCACCATTGCCAGACGACAGATTCAAAGATGTATCGTACCATATCCAAACTCTTCCAATATTGTGTAAAAAACATATTGTGGCTTTGGGGATATATGTCCTAGAACGTGTCTCAAGTTGAGATGGTTTGATACTCTTTCATGACCCATCATTAGCCAAGATGCACATATGTGACCGACGACGAGTTCGAAAGTGTATTTTATCGTACCCAAACTCCACCAATATTATGTGGAGAGGCATATTGTGCGCTAGGGGACATATGTCCCAGAGCTTGTCTCAAATTGAGATGGTTTGATACCCTTTGCTATCATTGGCTATTAGCCAAGATATATATATTGACCGACGACCAGAACTTTTAAGGCATATTGGGGCATTCACATGATGAGTCTTAGGCACATCGTACTCCACTATCATACTAGGAGTATGCCTCACAAATATTTTTCAAAAATAATATCAATTGGGTATGTATAGTGATCCATCTTTGTTCAATAATTATTTCCTGCATCACACCCTCAGGCTTGTATGCATATGTCTATGAGTGTTCTTAGTCTTGTATTATAATTAAAATTACACCAAAAAACTGAACAACCTTATTTTTGTTCAGTATAATAAGAAGATGAAGGACCACCATTTAGAGGAAAATCAAATAATCAACCCATCCTCGTAAAAGATATGAATGAGTTGAGCAAATGGTTGGTCGAGGAAGATGCTGGCAAGGAACCTGTGTCCGCAGAAGAGAGCTTGACATGGACCCAAGTACATGAGGCATCGAGGCTACTAGATCTCAAAACTCAAGTGAAGGGGAAGGGGAAGGAGAAGGGGAAGCAAAAGGCAACGGGGAAGTGGAAGATGCTGATAAAAGTAAGAGTAAAGGAGGAGGAGGAGGCAGACTCAGAGAAGACAAGGCAAGAAGGTGAATATGAAGAGGAAGATGACTATGATGATGATGACTTAGCATAATCATTAGATTTTGGTGCATTTGATGTTGGTCGTGGAGGTGGATGTGATGTTGCTAGTGATGATGAAACTCGTGGAGATGGACGTGATGTTTCATTTGAGTTCATCAATTTTTTTGTCGATTGTTGAGTTTTGTTAGTTTATGCCCTTTGAGTTGTGTCCTTTTTTGTAAGTTGGGAGTTGTAAGATGTGATTTGTAATGGAAAATTAACATTTGTTAGTTATTGAGATGTTCTAATGTTGGCTAACTTAGCTCTTGTTGCATAATGGATGAGTGTTTCGTAATTTTTCATTCTTTTATTGTTACTTTTAGTCATTTGTACAATAAAATTACACACAAAACCATAAAACAATATTCACTAAACGAAAAAATTTAGAGGTTCTACGCATAAAAATAGGGGGGGTTCAATAGTCCGGAAGGAGATAGAGCCCCCCAACTATACAAACTGCCCAGATATCTGTGCATCCACCAAGGCGTTGGAATCCATCTTCTTGAACATTGATATCTCATAAAGGCCTAGTCGAAATACCAACACTTTCATCAGTATGGAGGAAGACTTTGGACTTGCTTGGATGTGCTAACAGTCATGTGAAAGAAGTAACCCTACTTCCATTTATGCACAATCTTGAAAAATTGTATGTGTCTTTCGAATACATGAAAAACAAATCTTTCTTTATTTCCTTTCAGTAGCCATATGGAACAAAAAATATGATCCCCTATAAATAGTGACAGACCAAGCTGAGACATTAAACTCTCTTAAATGGGTGGATGGGAAAAAAGTGTGTTATTCCTGAAATCATCCATTGGGACAGTAATGACCTTGTATATATGGATAATTTTTTATCAAAAAGAAAAATAATATATTGAATTGAGTTGACTAAGCCATTTCACCTATCCAAAGATTCCATAATATTATATTTTTCGAACGTATAAAAACATCACTCAAAGGAAACAAGATATAGTGGACGTAACTGACTTTATAGAAAAGAGTATTTGACTTGGTTGTGAATAAAAGATACTGCCAAAACCATTGAAGTTTTAGCAAAACTATTCAATCCATGCGTACCGTTTTCGCTTTCTCTTCAATGGAGTAGAATCACTGGTTTGTTCATCCATATCTTTATCAGTAGTAAATTTCTCAACACCATCTTTTGAATCATACTTCTCAAAATCATTAGCACAAACGGGAACCTCAGCTGACATAGACATAGCAGAGCGATTCTTTAACCGTTCCTTGAGAAACTCCTGCAAAAATGCTCCTATAGAAGTGACAACAATAGAGAACAAAATGAATGTCTGCTGCAAAGCAAAATGGTAAGAAATACGTGCCAGAAATATTTTTTAAAATAACATGAAAAATTATGATTTCGTGATGTAAATCAAGATCTATGTTTATTTGGAAAAGAAGTGAGAATACATGCTGTTTTAAAATTGACAAGTAAACTTATGGTCAGCTTGACTTTTGAAGTGCCTCCAAACCGGGGCCAATCTCTTATTTGGCCAACACAGGCAGCTAGGTGTTTACCCAGCGCACTCACCCTAATCAACTGACTGATACAGCTTGTGCTTGACCTGTACCACAGAATTCATTCCATTCCTTTTTTTTTTGTTTGGTTTGACAGTTTTGAAACTCCTTAAAAATTGATTCAGATCTTGGTTGGGGATCTTGGGACAAAGCCCAAACTTCACTGAACCTACATCCCAAATATAAGATTTGAGCATAAATTCCACACCAAAACCTTTGTTAAATTATTAATTTGATAAGCCATGCCTAAAACTGATGTAAACTTTTCTTTAAGTTTAAAGCATTAATTTCATGTCAAAAGAGTCTTCCACTCTTGCGGGAGCATTACCTCCATTCACTCTCTGGGGTGAAACCCAATCTAGAAGTATATTTAGCCCCTCAAATTTTGGGGATGTTGCCTCTCCAATCTAGCGATCAAACTCATTAAAAAAAAGGGCAATTTATATGTGCCTGAAAAAATAACATCCAAGATTGAACAATGACCATCCAATTTTTGGATGGTGAGATATAAGTGCTTAAGAATGCAAAATTCCAAATTTTCGTAATAAAAATAATAATTTGATGATTCATACGTCGAACCCAGAATTTCAGATTGAAAAAATCCTCCTGAGTAACTCTTTCACCCAAGGGACTAAGTCTAGAGTATGTTCCCATAAGAGCATCCTATACACAGGAAACACGTAAGAACCAAAACAATTTGCTCTAGAAGAATCTAATCCAAAAAACACATGTAAAAAAATAATAGAGAACAGATGATGTATCCTTGTAAACCAATGTATAAAAAACAGATTGCCCAATTGGAGGATTGGCAGGTTTCAATCTCAAAAAATTTTAAAATATAACTAAAAATGCCTAAAAATAGTGTTTTTTGAGTGCCAAAAAAAATTTGGGGGTGATGCATTATCTACTTTCACTATTTTGCTAAAATACGTGAATATTGAGACGTTGTTCCCCTGTCTGGATGTATGTTGATCATTACATTCACTACTGAAAAAAAAAGATCTTACAATCAACATGGATATGAATCTATGGTCCAAAATGAAGCATACAACAACTGAAATACAATCTAATACCAAAATTAAATATGGCACCAGTGTAGGAAAAATCACTGGAACGGTTAATCGGACATGGGCCTAGAAGCGGTTCAATCGGCATAACTGGTAAACCGGAACCATTCTAACCAAGCAACCCCTGGAGAGTCGAAAATTAAAAAAAATACACAAAAAAAATCTAATAAAATATGAAATGTATATTTAAAGAATGATTAAACAAAGCACATCGAAATGAAGTTGAAAAATTAAGAAAAATGGATTTCAAAGAATTGATTTGAGCCCAAGGTTATTTTTAAAATTTTCCAAAAAAGATGGAAAATTTTAAAAATAAGGATTAATGGTCAAAACAATTTCCAAACAAAATGCATCACAAACAAAAATCCCTTAAAATGCCCGGCCAGTCACCAAACCCAGCCGAAACCGGAACCAGCCACTAACCTTACCCATTGAACCACCTGATTTTTCCTTCAATGAATGGCACCATTCTTCGTCTTCATCACAATAGTGCCACTCATTGAATTGTCGCAACAATTCATTGAGTTGATCCATGTTCTACTCAATATTGATATGCCTATGCCCGAGATTAAACAGAAAAAGGGTGGGGGCGAGCAAGAGCGTGGGGGCCATCATGAGGGGTAGACAACCCTTGGAGACCTCAAGCTAGGAAAGCAGCAGTTCTCCAACCGTGGGGGACTCGGGTATAATCAAATCGGCACCAAAGATTCTGAGTACGTAGGTTGACTCAATGAATTGCTAAGACGACTCAATGAATTGCTAAGACAACTCAATGATTGGCATCAACACAATGACGAGGAAGAATGGCGTCGTCTTCCATTTTGGTACTAGGTTGTATTTCAGTTTTGTATGCTACATTTTGGACCATGTATTCATATCCATGATAATTGTAAGCTTTTTTTCAATGATGTGAATGTAATGGTCAACAAACATTCAGATAGGGGACGACATCTCAATACTCAGGTATTTCGGTACAATAGTGAAAGTACATAATGCATGCACCACCCCTAATTTTTTTCAAAAATCAAGAACACAAATATTTTTAGGAATTTTAATACTTTTTAAAAAAATTTGAGGTCGAAACCGTTAGATCCTCCCATTGAGATCCCCGATCCACTTATCTAACCCAGTTTTCGGGAAGGCTGACCGATCCGTTTTTTTTAACCTTGGTTCCCGTTATATAACGGGAACCGGATTGTGCATGCCGATTCCCAAGTTGGATCAGCTGATTCCGATCCAAATCTGCGATTTTTTTAACATTGTTGTAAACACTACAAGGTATCATCTCTCCAAGCAACTTGAGGTTCACGCATGAAGCATCATATGATGGAAATATAGTAGTGAAATATATCAAAAACAATTAGTAGATAGACAAAACAAAAAGTAAGGTGTACTATTATCCAATTGATTATTGTAAACCACAGTCATCATCATTTGGTGAAATGGTGGCAATCAATATTGAAAGAGAGGGGCTGCCATAGGGTCATATCCTGCTCTAGAGGATCCCACACTTTCTCTCCATCATCCATAATTTCATAAGACCATAAATACAACAATGTACTCTGGTTTTTCAATAAATCCACTGCACAACTATACTTTCTCAGACCTCTCAAACCAAACTCTGTATTTTTAATTAAAACTTAGAAGCACAGGAATCCATTAGCAATGTACGTGGGGGACATGGATGTAAATGTTCAGGTTAATAATAGCAGCATTGCAAGTCAAGAAATTTAAATTTAAAGATAGCGAGAAGCACATAATTTTCAGTAAATTTTGCAGCCTACCTGTAGCACATAGCAACTTTGTGTCAAATGTATCACCTAATGCCTCAAAACCCGCAACTTTGGCACGGTGCTTAGCCAATTTCTTTATGCTGATTAGCATATCCTGAACATGGTTGAAGAAATCAGCCGGTGGTTTCAGAATAGATCAGTATATTCAAACAGATAAAAAAATAATCTCTCAATCGATGTCATTTATGATACACTTAGGAAAGCATGTCATAATCCAATGGATTATGATAATACCAATACTCTATTGGGGCCATTACTTTATGAGGAAAATGATGGACAGTGATGGAGAAAGAGTTGAACACACAGTACATGAGATGATCCCCAATAGTGAGTCCCACTTTTTCTCCATCACCATTCATCATATCATTGGATGAAGGATAAGTCCAATGGCCCATGTGTTTCCAAGTCCATTGCACTATATTGCACTTTCCACGTAAGATTACTCTGAGACCAACACATGAATGGAAGATCCAATAACAAATAAAACATGCTCTTCTTTTACTATCAGTATGCAGTGTTGATGCGAATGGCAGATGGAAATACCACTTGAAGTGAACGTAGAAAAGAAAATGCCAAGTAATTAACCATAAGAATTGATCTATTCCCAATAAGCAAAACACTGTGTTCAATTTTCCATCTCATGTGATCTAGTCACATGCTATACTTAGAAGGCTATTCCTTGACAATTTATTGGGTTGGATATTCGTTTTTACAATTTTTTTAGAAATATTTCAAAATATTTCTTGCTCAGCATATGAGGACCAGAATGCTGAACCAATTCAAACAGGCAAGTCCTTCAAAGACTCCATGATTCAAACTTCATTAGCTATTCATCTATACACTTTCTATGTACCCCAAATGTTTGTAGAGAAGTAATTCTGAGGACAATTAGGATGATGCATACAAGTTGCTATACACAGCCACCTTATCATCAACGGTGAAAACACTTTTTAAAGTTACAACCCATTGCTGATAAGTCTCATTTAATATGCAAACAAAGATCAGCACCGCACCATATGCTGAGGAGAAGGGGTGCCACATATAAAGCCATGCTATCAGAGACAGATAAGCAATTCAGCAGGCCCTTATATATATGACAGGATGGCAACAATCAGAAACCTACTAATAAGACATACCAATAACAAACTGCAATTGGTAACGCTCAATATTGTTTGTAAAACTAAGACTCAGCATGATCGGAAAAAGTTTTGTCCAACAGCAGCAGCTGAAAAGTGAACAAATGACCAGAAAACAAGAAATTGGTCATATGGATGAGTGATTCTTCCCCGTGTATCAGTGGGAGAACAATGTGTCAACCCAGTGTCCATATCATATATACATTTTGTAGCAACTGTTATGGGCTCATGCCCACTAAAATTTATGCAACAGCGGTAACTCCTATATATAATGGGCCTCATGAAGTGGTTGTTATGGTGTTATGGGCTCATGCCCATTAAAACCTGCAACTCCTATGAATAATAGACCTCATGCCCATTAGAACCTGCTGTAACAGCTAGCATAACTCCTGCTGTAATGGTTGTAATTCTTTTGCATGTTGACATACCCATGGTGTAACTCCCATAGGAATATGTGTAAATACAGGGCACATTGCCCTACGATTTGTAGAGTGTGAATAACAAATGTATTTACTTTATCTTGTACTTGAATATTACTCTCTATTTCTCTCTTCTCTCCCAATTTTAACATAGTATCAGAGCAGGGCTTGACACCCTAGGATATCCAATACTTCCAGATACCCTAGAATCATGATTTTCCTTCCTAAACCCTAGGATATCCAGTACTTCCAATTACCCTAAAATCATGATTTTTCTTCCTTCTTGGGCTTGAAACTGTAGTGTATCAGCAACATCATACTTCCAGCAAGATCACCTCACTTTCTTTTACTAATAAGTAAGTCTTTATCCCAAAGTCCCAAACTCCTTTCTTTTTCAGCAACCTCATATTTCCAGCAAAACAATATTCCCAACAACCTCATATTTTCAGCAACCTCACATTTCCAGCAACCTCATATTTCCAGCATCTCATATTTCCAGCAACCTCACAATAATCCTAAACTCCTTTCTTTTTCAGCAACCTCAATTTCCAGCCATCTCACATTTCCAGCAACCACACATTTAAAACTGAGGATTTTTTTTTTTTTTTTGAATGAGGTTAACGATTGTATTACTAGAAAAGCATCGGAGAACAAGAGGGAGACTTGAGAGTACCCACAGGCCGGGTCCCTCGATCAAAAAATAGGTTACTACTTTGTGGCCCTATACAAAAAATTGGGGCTTATAAGACTTGCTCGATTACAAATGATGTACACAGAAAAAGCAAAAAACTATGCACCCGCAGGGTCCAGATCAAAAAAGGAGATAGACCAGCGACATAAGTATGATCAATGCAGCAACACAAAAAGTCGTGACTATACGGGGGCATCTGCTTGGGCCCGAGCAGCATCCTTAGCCAGAAGACCTGTGAACTCGTTCGATGTCCTCCAGATATGCATCTAGGAGAGGACTATATCCCCGCAAGTATGGGCAATTTCGTCAAAAATAGAGGAAAGATACCAAGGAGGAGGGGCGTTTCCAGCAGCCCAGGACATGATATTTTTGGCATCCCCCTTGACAAACAACTGAGATCCCAAGAGTGGTCGAATCTTTTTAGTCCCAACAATAGTCCCATGGATGCAGCGTACTGAGAGTTTGCATGGCCTAATTGCTCGGAGAAAGTGGCCAGAATGTTGCCAATGTGATCTCGGAAAACTCCTCTAGCTCCTGCTAGGCCTGGGTTACCCAAGGAGCATCCGTTGAAATTAAGCTTGATGGTGTCTTCTGGTGGCGGCAGCCAATAGTCGGGTCTCCAGACCCGAGGGGATTGGACGTGGAGGATATTTTCCCATTGGCTAAGGAAAGTATTTGCCGAAACCCCGGAAAAGGCCCTATGGTTGGAGGCCCAAAAGATTACTAAGGAAGTAACCTTGTGGAAAAGGGCTGGAACTTCGCTCGTGGGGCCTTGACAGATCCTGGAGTTTCTTTCCAGCCAAAGAACCCAAATAGTTGCTGCGATAGAAGCCGTTCGGAGGATTCTACCCGCCTTTGGCCAATGAGATACAAGAGAGGACGAGATGAGAGCCGGAATGGATGGTGGAGTGACCCATGAGAGGCCAAACAGCTAGATAATTTGACTCCATAGGTCAAAAGCTAGGCTGCAGTGAATGAACAGATGGGGGTTCGCTTCCTCCTCACAAAGACACAAAGCACACCTGTTGGGGATAGGAATCCCTTTCCTTTGTAGCTGATCTACTATAAGGGCTCTTTGAGAGCAAGCAATCCAGCTGAATGCCTGCACTTTAGGCGGTGTAATGGTGGACTAGACTTTGGAGAGAACCGAGATTGGGTTGAGCAGGAGAGTAAATGGGTGTATAAGTATTTTATAGAAGGAGGCCACCGAGAATGAACCAGAGGGGAGAGAGCCCACACCAAGGTATCCCTCCCCAAGAGAGTGAGGAAGGTGGAATGAAGAGAAACCGAAAGAGAAATTAATTGCCCTGTTTCCTCCTCTGAAAGGTGGCGTCTGAAAGAGGGGTTCCAGACCTTGCAATCACCAGAGGCAACCATCTCCTCTGCAACAGTGGATGCTTTGTTAGAGGCGAGAGAGTAGAGGGAGGAGAAGAGGTCCTTAGTGGGGTGTGTGGCCTAGCCAAAGGTTTGACCAGAAGCGCACTCCAGTTCCTTCTCTAGGATGAAGGCGAATGAACTGCTTGAACATGGAGAGGGACGTCAAGAAGGACTTCCATGCTCCTGAGGCTCTCCTAGGAGAACTCCCCTCGGCGACCCAAAAATCTTTCGAGATTCTATATTTTTTGCGGAGGACCTGGGCCCAGAGAGAGTTGTTCTAGGTAGCCAGTCTCCACCTCAATTTCCCTAACAAAGAGAAATTGTGCTTCCTTAAAATCCTGATACCCAGTCCTACCTGGTGTTTTGGAAGGGACACCTTATCCCATGAAATAAGGTGAAATTTTTTCGACTCAGCTTCTCCTAACTAGAGGAAATTCCTCATCAATTGATCTAGGCGGTTGGCTACCGAGACGGGCATGTGGAATAAGGACATCAGGTAGACAAGACAGTTTGTCATGGTAGCTTTGATGAGCATGGTCCGCCCTGTGAAGGAGAGGTACCTCCCTTTCCAACCTGCCAAACGCCTATCTAATTTGTCTATTACGTGAGACCACTGTCTCTTCTTTGGTTTCCCCAAACCCAGAGGTAAACCAAGGTATGTGGTAGGGAGGTCCTCCACTTTACAGTCCCAATTAGGGATATGTGCTCTGGTTTCAAGATTGGAGAGAGCTACCCCAATCATTTTCGATTTTTCCATATTTACTTTGAACCCCATAGCGTACTCAAAGCATTTGAGGAACAATCTTAGATTATCTATTTCCTCCAGTGTTGCATCAAGGAAAACTAACGTGTCATATGCATATTGCAGATGAGACACGATAGAGCCTTGTGCACTACTTTTGAAACTGGAGAGGAGGCCAGCCTGGTACAATCGCCTGATGGAACGGCTAAAACTTCCGCTGAGATGGCGAAGAGGAAGGGGGAGACTTAGGAATTAGTACATTGGAAAAAAAAAAGGTGGGGGGTTGCCTTAGGGTTTCTTGTTCGAGAGAAAAGGAAAATGTCAGAAATCAAGCACAATATTTCCATGGGAAGCAGTCAATCTGACGACCCAAGATTGATGATTATTACAGTTAAGCTAAATGGGACAAAATACTTAGAATGGTCTCAATCTGCCAAAATGCTCATAGGAAGCCGGAGGAAATTGGGTTATATTACAGGAAAAATAAGAGATCCTCCCACAAATGATCCATCTCATGATGAATGGGAAAGTGAAAACTTGACAGCAATGGCATGGCTCCTTCATTCCATGCAGCCAAGTATCAGTAGGGGGTTGTTGTTTCTTAAGACTGCAAAGGATATATAGGAGGCAGTAGCTAAGACATACTCACAACAAGCTGATATGGCCAAGATTTATCAATTGCATCGTCAAATAGCGATATTGCAGCAAAGAAAAATGATTGTGGAAGAA